AAATCTGGCTAGACCAGAGGATGTACACTGGTACAGATAAGAACTGGAAACAAAGAGAATCCAGGACGGATGATCCCTTCAGGACCAGTGGTGAGAGTGGCGATACAGGGAGGGTGGAGGAAGAGTCAGGTGAAAAGGGGGAACTACATATAACCTCCTCCCTGGGGGACGGCAACAGAAAAGTGGGTAAAGGGAGATGTTGGACAATAAAAGATATGACAAAGTAATAATTTATAAATTATCAAGGGTTCATGAAGAGGGGGAAAACTGAGGACCTGATGCCAGGGGCTTAAGTGGAGAGCAAATGTTTTGAGAATGATGAGAGCAACAGATGTACAAATGTGCTTTGCACAATTGATGTATGTATGGATTGTGATAAGAGTTGTATGAGCCCCCAATAAAATGATTAAAAAAAAATCGTGTTTAAAAAAAAAAGAAAATTCCAGAGGGCACCTCAAGAAAACATGAGATGTGTCAAGACCTGGAATTAGGAAGCCAAAACAAAAAGCACGCTCAGCAGATCTCAAGGTGAAAGAACTGAAGAGAAAATTCAATCTCAAGTTGTAAAACTGAAGGACTCTATGGACAAAATATTGAATGATGCAAGAAGCATCAAAAGAAGATGGAAAGAATATACAGTCAGCGTACCAAAAATAAGTGGTCAACATTCAACTACTTCAAGAATTATCATGTTACTAAGAACCAATGACACTGAAGAAGTCCAAGCTGCCACGAAGGCATTTGTGAAATAAAAGGCTTCAGGAACTCTTGAAATATCAATTGAATGTTTCACAAAACTGATGAAGACTGGGGAAATACTCATCCATGTAATTCTTGGCTGACTAGAAGAGATCCATATTTGTGACCATTCCAAAGGCAGGTGACCAAACAGGATGAAATTAACAAACAATACCATTAATAGCAAATACAAATAAATTTTTGCTGAAGTTGCAGCAGTGTATCTACAGGGAGCTCCCAGAAATTCAAGCTAGATTCAAAAAAGGATATGGCAAAGGGATATATGTCATTACTGATGTCAGATAAATCTTGGCTGAAAGGAAAAAATACTAGAAAGACATTCACTTGTGTTTCACTGACTATACAAAGGCATTTGACTATGTGGATCCTAACTGGCTTTTCTGGAACTTGTCATGGACCAAGAGGCAGTTAGATGAACAGAACAATGGAACTGCATAGTTTAAAATCAGAACGAAGTGCATTAGGGTGCTCTCTTTCATCATACTTTCTTGATCTGTATACTAGGTAAATTACCTGGAAGTTGGGCTACATGAAGAGTAATTCTAGGAGAGGATTTGAGGGAGGCTTATTAACAATCTGTGATATGTAAATGACACGACTTTGCTTGCTTCAAAGAGAAGTCTTGTAGCACATGTTGATGAAGACCAAGTAATGCAGCTTTCAGTAAGGATTACATATCAATGTAAAACCGCCCCAAATCCTCACAACTGGGCCAATAGATAATATGGAAAATATTTTAAAGATTGAAGTTGGCAAGGATTCATGTTGTTTGGATCCATACTAAATGCTCATGTAAGAAGCAGTCAAGATGGATATATGGATTGGGATAAGAGTTGTATGAGCCCCCAATAAAATGATTTAAAAAAAAGAAGCAGTCAAGAAATCAAACCGAGTTTTTCATAGACAAATCTGCAGCACAAGACCTTTTTAAAGTGTTGAAGAGCTTCGAAGTTGTCACTTTGAAGACTAATTAGCAACTGACCCACGTATTTTCAATGGCCTCATATGAATGCAAAAGCTGGACAATGATTAAGGAAGACCAAAGAAGAGGTTCCATGCTTTTGAATTATAATTTGGGCAAAGAACATTAAATATCCCACTTATTGCTAGAGGAGCAAACAAATCCATCTTGGAAGAACTACAGTAAGTGCTTCTGAGAAGTGAAAATAATGAGACTTGGTCTCTTATGGCCCCTCTTGGGACCAGTCCTTGGAAAAGGACATCATGCTTGGTAAAGTAGAAGGGCAGTGACAAAGAGGTCTGAAGACCCTCAATGAGATGGCTTAACACACTGGCTGCAACAATGGTCTCAAAAATATCTAGGATTGTGAGGATGGTGTAGGACTGGGCAGTTCTTTTGTTGTGCATAGTGTCACTATGAATTGGAATTGAGTTGATGGCACCTAAAACCAATGTGTACATATGTGTCTAAATGATAAATTAAAAAAAAAAAGATAGTTATGGCACTCTTTGTAAGGAAAAACAGTTTATGGTCAGGTTCAAGTATCTTTCTGACACGCTCTGGTTTAAGGCAAGGCATGTCAAAATCTACACTTATTTTTTAAATGGAAATTTATAGTAGCAAAGCAACTTAAATTTATACAGGATTATATAATTTTCTTTTTTGGTGAATGTATATTTTAGTGAGTGTTCTAAATTTTAACACAAAAAACCAAATTGCTTCAATCTAAGACACCAACATATATTCTCTGACATAAAAATTTAGAAATAAGTAGAGAAATAAGTATTACAATTCTTTTAAGAAGCCTACACAAGCAACTTCTACATAAAGCAAAAATTCATTGTTAATGTGATTTAGGATAATCTACTATCATTCTATTACCTCAAAATACATATTTTAAATGTAGCCTTTGTAATGTTAATTCACGAATTCAAACTAGACCAATACAATGTATCCAATAGTCTTTGAGGAGATACTCTCAATATCTAGTATTTCAAAGTTAATTTATTAAATCCTTAGAGAAAATGGAGCACTTGTGAATGTAAGAAAATGTGTATGTGTATATATCCCTTTCCCTGCTTTGGGGTATGCTCCTGTCATCGTTACACCATGAAGCTTTGTTTCACATTATGCATAAGCAGGACTTTACATTCTTTGTTTCCTTTAACAGGTTATCTTAAAATAATCTATACTAGTGATATAATAACCGGTTGCAGACTTAAGTCACCACCCAAGGAAGTGAGAAGCATGAAAATACTATAGAATCTTTGTAAATTATGGCACTATGAGCAAAATGTCATTTTAAAATAGTATAAAATAGAAATCAGAATTTAACATTAAAAAACCGTGGCCAAGTATGATCACAGTGGACAATTGTTAGACTCTTAAGTTTTTTTAGTGCTTAGCCCTCATAGACTGAGAAATTAAAGAATAGAAACCAAAAATAAAGGAATAAAATAATTTTAGTAAAAAGATGAGAATGCCACTAAGTGTAGGGTAGTATCAATACTTTCAGTGCATCTTGAAAATTTGAGCATATCAAATACTTTTGTTAAATACTAACATCTGGCCAAATCATCAGTTTTTGAAAGGTAAGAAACTTCTCTACTTTTCTTTATCAATTTATATTAAGTACTATGAATGGATTTGAAAACACCAGTGATACCTACAAGGCCACAGGAACAGAAGTAGAGATCTGTTAACCAATAGCACCAGTAGCATCATTACACCAGGTCATAATCAACGACAGTACCCAAAGCCCCAAAGGACAGAGTGAAGACAGCATACCCGATGAGGAGTTAGATGATTTTAGAGCAAAAGACCAACCGTCAGGAGTCATGGACGCACAGTGTGGTAAGCGAAGCTCCACTGGTTTCAGGAACTTGAGGCCATGGGGCCCACACATCACTAATGGGCTCAGCAGTGTCTCACCTGGAGAAAGGGATGGAGGTGAGAACGTGAGATGGTAAGCCGCCTTTTAGACCTGAGTTATCCTCACCTCTCTTCCAATTATGGGTTTTAAAGTCAAATGGGTTAGTTCTTCATAGCCAAAATCACCTACTAAAAAATATGAGTAGTCATATATATAACTTTTAATACGTGATATTCCAAAATCACAGTATAGAATCTGATGTTAGTATTCTGGCAACACTAAGAAAATGAGCGAATGTTTGAGGGGGCTAAGGCTAAAGTTTGTGGAATATATCGTTTATCTCTTAATTCCATTTTTCCGAAGCTCCCTTGTATTTAAGGAAGTGTAGCTAAAAGATTCGGGG